ATTCTCTCACCGGCTACTTTCCATTTAGTGGAGATGCATTACATTCTCGACAGCTACATTGCATTTCTGATGGATTTATTTCATTCTGTACATTCGAAATGGCTGTTACATGCCTTGTATATAGTATTTGGCGTGGCTGGACACGGAATATCTTACAGGGTCGTGGGACCTGGGGTTCTATACGGCCAGCGATGTTCCAGGATTTGTTCCGAACCAGAATCCGATTGAATCGCACCACCACAGCATCAAGGCTACTGCAGTGAATCAGCTGCGGGCTTCAACGGGGCATGTGCTTGCGTCGACGCTATCGAAAATCTGGTCGAGTGCGCGATGGAAATCGGGTCGGAGCCTATCCAGCACTTTGCCGCTGGACCAGTTTCCGCAGAGGTTCTAGAAGCTGGTGTACTCCTCTGCAACGACGACAACCACTTCCCGACTCACAAACGCAAGTCGTGCAGAGCAATCCGCAACATCCAGGCGTATTACTTTAACCAGAGATACTACATCGTCCGGGACGACAATGTGCATGGATTGAAGGTGAACGCAAGTCGAACAAAGACCTATAAGAGCTCGCTCAGCGGATCCCTCAAGGATTATGAAATTGTGGAGAATGTGTAGCTTCGATACCTCTCCGCACAAGGTGACGGTGTTGGATCGACTTCCGTATGAGCACGACTGGAACTCTCCGTTGTGGTCACTGGAGGAGATCAACACCATCAGAAAAAAGTTCAAGTGTGACTGCAAAGATTTCTACCGGACGGGGTGGCTGTGTGCTCATGTACTAGCATGCCTTCACCTCATTGACAATCTTGATTTGACGGTCATGCTTCGAGGGCTCCCAGCTCGCAGGCCTCCCGGTAGACCGCGCAAGAAAAGCAAATGCCTCCAGCGAGATGGTGTGAGAACATCCCAATACTCCGTCGATGCCATGGTGAAACGACTTGTGGACAAGCCAGCAAGTGTTATCAACTGGAGCGTGCAAATCGAAAAGACAGTGGCCGAGGCGGATGGCGAGGGGTCCCAGCGGACCTATGTTGACAAGATTAGCCCCCCTTCACTCGTGGAGGAAAGCGGTTCTGGGAGATCGCGTACGAGGATCAAGATGAGGTGACTGTCCTGGAAGTTGAAGCTCTTGCAAGGACGATCAATTTCTCCTTCCAAATGGGGCACAACATTGTTTCCAGCTTATGCATATCTTCGACACAACAGCGGTAGCGTGAAGCTTCAGCAGAATAGCAAGTGGACGACATAAGGCTAGACGTAGTGAGCACTTCGGGTGCTACGAACTAGGGACCGAGTAACCCGGACATTTGTTTTACATTTTTCAATAGATGCAAGTGAATGCAATAACACCATCGAAATGAAAACTAGCCAATAATAAATGAAAAGCAGACGTTTTGCCCATAAATGGAAAGTAGCCGCTGAAAGAATGAGAACAAAAAACGCACCCAGAGTCCCCGCGACAAGCTGTAAATCTCTTGTGGCTCCAGGTTCTTCCTCTCTAGCGACCGGGACACGTGAGTTCCCCACGGGCAGTAGTCATACGACTGGCAATAAGGCAAACGTTACAACATTCGACATCAGCACTAAGCCATGTGAACCATTGCATAGCAGAACAGCCCGCACCTCAAGCCACCTCAAGTCTTGTCCGTCCAGCGCCATCCTGTGGCGACTCCTTAGATTTAGGCAGCTAAAGAGCCGCTATGAGCGAGTTCTCGGAAGGTCGGCAACTAAAGCAAGCTGTTCAACAACAACAATGCGGAGGGATCTCTTTTTAAGAGATTAATATAATCGCACGCGTAGGAAGCTGGGCAAAACTAAGGTCGGCCTAGATGCCTTATTCATGACAACGCTACAATCTCGTTTCTCTAAGCTCAGTAAAAGACCAAAGTTTTGTTCGAGAGGGACTGTCGGACTCGGGCCATGCTCAAGTTGGGCAGCTCAACTCGTGTTTCTTTTCTCGGAAATGTAATCGAAATGTTCGGCGACGTTCAATTTTACAAGGACGTCCCCAACAGGACAAGAACAACCCCATAATTCTCACCACCGAGGTCGCCCTTGTGGCAAGTGCTCGTCAAGACGAGACGTTGAAGCGTATACATGATGCAAATTCTCTCAGCCTAAGGGCTGAGGGTAGCTTCAGCTTGAGGATGTTTTTCGGATATTTGTGAAATCTGGACGGAAAATGTGTACATTGTTTCTAAATAAATACGTAGACTGCTACGGGAAAAGACAAACGGCAAAAGTTCTCTATTTTTTAATTGAGACATTTCGCCGTTTCTACTCGTTAAAAAAAGAGTTAGAAACGTGGTGAGCCGTACATTTTACCCGGGCAGCCTGCATCAAGAAATAGGCAAGCCGTGAAGACAGTTCGTTCACTGGGAAGTATGTAGAGAGAAGAAAGCAGCTTTTGCATTGAGCAGCACCAAGTTGATGATCAGTTGGTGATCAGTGATCACCAACTTGATGCTGGTCAATGCGAAAGCTTCTTTTTCTTTCTACAGGCTTCCCAGTGAACGAACTGTCTTCACGGCTGATCACTGATCAGCACAAAGAGGCGATCAGTGTTGAGTATTTATCTGTGGGTCCAACAGATGTAGAGTTGCGCATGAAGTGCTGGGGTGCAATTGCTATGAAGCTAATCTAATAAGAGCAACGCAAGTATGACTTGGGCATACAGAAGGCTGAGAGACCTCGTGCGCGAAGACCCTCGAGCAGTGCTACTGTTTGCCTCTCTCCTGATCTTGAAGTTCATGTAGCCATTTCTAACGGGAGCCTCTAAATGGATAGAAACTCCCTGTCATTACACTCTGCAGACGCCCACGTGCATCAAGTTCTTCATCCCGGCAGGGCCAGAGCTAGGCCCAAAATGAGGGGGCTTCAGCCCCCTCCCTCGTCAGGGGGCTACCCCGCACAGCTCCATCGAAGTTGGTCACATTACTACTAAATTGACGAACGTGCTCATCCAATAAACGTCTTGCACGCGTCCTCATGGTAGTGCAATGCCTTATAGTTTCGGGGTGCTACTTCGTTGCGAGTATACTTCACTGATTTCTGAGTAATTCCACATAAATCTTACTTTTGAGTTAGGAAAGCTGCCACGTCCGTCATCGCCCCCCCAACCAAGCCAATGTCGTACAAGGTTCATCGAGCGGCTATTGTTGACGCACTCGACCACATCGGTCTACGCAGCAGGGCCAAAACACATTTAGGCAGAGGATCGGGCTCCCGAATGGCAGACCTTGGGGGGTGCCAGTGAAGCTCAGATACGGCGCCTAGGGAGGTGGAATCCTCAGGCGATGGAGAAAGGTTACCTCACCTCGCTACCGCGAGAAGCAATGCGAACGCTTGCGGGCTTGAACGAGGAAGAGGTAGTTATTTGCTGGCGCGTACTTGCGTTGATCCTCCCCAAGCTCTTCAGAAACGTATTTTTCCGTTGGTGGAGGAGTGGCAGTCGAAGATGACTTCAGGTGAATGTGAACAGTCAATCGCGGCTGGTGGTTTTCTCGAGCTGCTTCAGTATCTGCGCACCGTAATTCTGCAGGATGCTGCCATTTTGTCCGAGCAAATGCCGGGACATCCGATTTGGAACAATGAGATCTTCAAGAGCGATCATTTTGAACAATTCCAGCTGGAAATGAAGAATGTCATGAACCACGTTAGTGACCCCACCGAGCGTCAGCTTAAGAAAGCCATGCCCGCGCTGAAGTCGACGCTCGATGGTGTTCGACAGGAGATGAGAGCATCATTGAGTGGTATTCGAAATAGCTTGGACGCGGTTGGTGAAAGTGTAGCAGATGTCATGGAAGTTCTTGCCCCACTCAGGAATGGATCAGCATTTGTGGAAGTTAAGATCGTGAATGGCTTACAATCGACAACCCCCAGCGCCACCCAAGCCGCCTCCGGAGCTAGCTACACCGAGTGACCCCTCTGCGATTACCAGTTACAGACTCAGTCGAGGCATTCAATCGGTTCGTGAGTTGTGGACCGAATGGACATGCGGCCTCCCTGGTGGTTATGCAGTTGAAAAGCTGGAGTAACAGCTCGGTACCAAGTGGTGTGACCATCACGAGAGACGCTTCTTCAACCGACGACGAAAAACTATTGATCTTGTAAAGATCATCGCTAGCTGGGTTTGCAACCACGAGGCGTTCGACAAATATCAGGCAGTCGAAGAGGCGATTAAGCGTGTTGACAGCATCCGCTGTATTCGCAAAAAAGATCGCTCAATTGAGTGTCTCAAACGTCGAGTGTGGCCTAATCTGTACACGATGCTAGCAACCTCTGGACAATTCCGGAAGAAGGGCGCTGGTGGCTCTAAGCAGTAGATCTGTTTGGTGCTGTACTGGAAGCAAACCGACTTGGAGGACCTCGCACGAAAGATCCCAAAGCTGGACGAGAGCGATACTGCCAACCGGCATTTCGTGACCGGTGGAAGCCTTCGCGATTTTTTGATGGCGGTGGCTGCTTCTAGAGCTCTAATTGAAGCAGCATTGGGTGAACTCACTTTGGATGTAGCAACATTGCTGATCAGACCGCGTGGATGCAGCTCAGACCAGCAGATTGACCGCATTCGGATGATGGGGGTTGCAAACCCTACAAGCGTCGATCATTATATCCGTCCGTTGTTTTGGAGACCGTGTATAACGTCGGTGATGGCGATGAGACACCTGATAGATACGGTGAAACCCGACTATTTCCAAAAGCTTCTTGCTCTGGCGAAAGACTTGGACGACGATAAACTACATGGCGCTGTGCTCGAATACTTGTTCCGCTCGCTTTTACGCCACCATCATTCAACTCGCATATCGTAATTTAAGTACGACAATGTAAATCGGAGTAGTGTTCGGAACTTTGAGAGCATCATGATGGCGGATACAGGTACGGTAAAACTCGACCGTTCGATCGAGTCGCGCGAGCCGCCACTATTCCAGCGCTCGGGTGAGACGATTGAAGACTTCGTAGCGGTGATAGAGAGGTGGGCTGCAAACCCTGCCGAGATGGACTACTGGATCCCTGCGTCCAGCGCGTGTCCAACAATAGATGCTGTCGCGAAGTGGAAGTTTACGAGCGACTCGGTGGACTCGTCTACAATGGGGCCCACGGTGGAGCGTTTATGCTTGCTCCAGATGACGAAGGCCATTAAACACAAGTGCGACGAAACGATCCTTTGGAAATTTGCGAAGACATTCCTAGAAAAGCGAAAGCAAGTGTGTTTCATGGTCCTTCTGTGGGACGATGATTTCGACCGGAGTGCGATAACTCAACGTTGGTCGTTCAGATTGGATCCAGTGGTGATCACGTTGGACGAGGGCAGGGCCAGCATTCCCCTGTACGTTGCGGCGGCTCAAATGGATGAAGACTCGTTTTACGGTTGAGCTTCGCATCGATCCATACCAAGCATGATTTCTACATGTAGTCGTCGTATTACGTAGTACAATAGAAATAGTGAACCGGGTCAAGCGGCAATTTCTTAAGAACATTTTTAATGCTAAATTTTTAAGAACATTTTTAATGCTACTAATACCGGGAGGCAGGGCTCCCGAGTACGTTGTACGTCGCTCATCGCCATCGATACTTGGAAAACGGCCTCAAGCTCACTGGGACGTGCTGAACGGTGGCCTTAACCCTATTATGGTTGGTGGTCCTAAAACCTTGCAATATGCTTGGTTTTACAAATTTAATCCAATCAAATCACCCCTCTATTGATTTTGACCTATTATATCACTTGCGTAAAACCAAGCATATTGCGAGGTTTTACAACAATAATTGCAATAATTATTGGTAAACCCCTGCAAAATGATATATTATGCTGCGGGGTGCGGAGCAAAACCAAGGATTTATGCATGTTTTACACTTTACTATAGGGACTTCGGTATACAAAATCCAAGTATAATATTGATCACTAAAGGGTTAAGTGGCAAAAGACTGCCTCAAATTGCTCAAAACCGGTCGCACTCCGTGAAATCGTCTGGAATAACGTCTCGAACGCGTACATATCACAGCACGGTATCCCTGGGCTTCGCATTTCGCCTGTAGCGGAGCCTTCCATGAATACCATATATAAGCCTGTGCTGGAAGCTTTGCAAGTACTCCCAAAGGACAAGAACGAACGCGAGATTTCTTGGGCTTTGTTTTCGCTATTTTCGAGCATCACTTCGACGGAGCTGAAGCAATTCAAGATCCCGGGCGAACATTTTCTCGCAAGCCCCGAGGGGAGGGTGGATGCCTATGGGAAAGCTGACTTTATTATTCGCAATGGCGATAATTTTGTCAGCATAGTGGAGGCCAAGAAACCTCAAACTGTAGTCACGTTGGTGGCCCTTTCAAGCAGCCTGGAATTCCGCAGGTAGTTGTGGGGATGGAACTCCTCAATACTCAAAGCAACGGTGTCCTCGCAAATGGTATTCAGACTGATTACTGTTCTTGGACATTTATGCGGATCATGTACCCGGATGACCATGATGGCTCGCCTACGATCCTGTACGACACCGATAATCTTGTTGAGAGCGCCAGGGATACTCCACGAAAACATAATCTTGAGCGCATTGTTGGTAAGATCGTGTCCGTTCTTTCTACGTCTCTGCTTCCTCCATCGTGAGTTGATCCGCAGACGAAGGTTGCAAACGGGTTATGGAGACAAAAGATACAATTTTTCGACTCGCGTATTTCAATCAAAAGCTGCTATCACGATAAGTCACGAAGTCGCAAGTCTTACTCATACCGAATTCACAAGCATTTTGTTCAGTGGCGGATGAAGCTTGGTGTTCTGTTTCCCATGCTCGTCGTCGAGTTTGAAGTGCTACGAGTTTATATAAGGGTGAGTCGCTCATTCGACTGCTTAACCCCTCATTCACCAGAAACTTGCGCGAAATTAAAATCATGGCGCACGTCAGATCTTTCGTCATGTTTTTAACTTAGTGTTTGTATTAGCTCATATTAAGTGCGAATAATAGTCCCGCTTATATGCATGTATCCCAAAGTTTTGGTTCCGCACCTCCGACATATCTCCGATATGCGAAATCGAAATCGCAACAGAATCACTAGAAATTCGTCTGTACTTGTCGGAGGTGGCGACAAAATGTGTTGTGTCGCAGAGCAGATGTGCATACATAGACAATGAAAAACGCTACTAACATACCGTACAGATATGCATAGGCGACAAGGTTACGACCAGCAATGCAAAACCTGGAAGGCGAGAACAAGGCGTACGTATCTAGTTCCGCAGACGGGTTTCACTATAACTTACAGAATTATTATCAACTCGCCAGAAGTTCTGCAAAAAATGTGAGCGGGAAGCCCGCGGAAGGTGTGTACTTGGCCAGCCGGAGGAAGTCGCACCGCCAAGTGAGATGCAGCAACCGCAATCGCTATGCAACACGAACTTGCACACGTTCGACCTACTAAGAATCTATGTTGCGTACTTGCAGGTAGTTTCCGCGCTGGCCGCGAGGAGGAATCCCGCGGAGAGTGTACTCGGCCGCCGGAGGGAGTCGCACCGGCAAGTGAGATGCAGCAACCGCAATCGATGTGCATCGCGAACGTGTTCACTTCCGGCCTCCTAGCGGTCCGTTGAGTGCTCCCAGGTGGGTCTCGCAATGACCAAGAGCCGCAGGCGACTTGGTGGCGAGTAGTTGATACGGACGTGTCGGCCGGACCGCGAAGTGAGCTTGCAGCAACCGCAATCGGCATGCATCGCGAACATGGTTACCGTACTCGTTGCGAACGCGTAGGTGCGGCTGTGTCACGGGTACCGATGATTTTTACGTAAAAATGACTTTTTACTTTTTACGTATTGGCGTCGCCTATCCGTCACATCATACATAGCCCAAGAGGGTTTAATTCATCGTCCCTCCTCGCCAGGAAACCCACGGGCACCGCCCCTTCCCATTTCCAGATTTTGCTGTCGAGCGAGATGCCGGCACGATACCGTTATCCATCGTCAGACGACGACGCAGAAGAAGAAACCAAGGGAGACCTCGGGCCTGTCGCTTGCGCCCACACACGGGACGCCCTGGAGATGCAGTCACCCAGTCGGGGGTTGGCGACGACGAAGGCATCGCGACGCAGCCCGACGACCCGGCCCTGACCCAGCTCAACGCGGACGGTGAGGCACGGTGTCGAAATGACAATCAGCTACGAGCCGAAGAAGTCAGGGCATCACAGGGCCACACGACGGGTCAGTCACAACCTCCGGAGCTTACGCACCAAATTGATGCCCGCCGCAAACAACTTCTGCTGCGGATAAGCACCGCCAAGGTGACACCCCGGGGCAGGACGGTTCTGCAGAAGCTTCCAAGGCGTCCGGAGCCCCTAAGACACGACCATCTACTGAGACGGACACACCTTCCTCATCTGCTGCCAGCTCCTCAGACGAGTGTAGCGAGCCAGAGAGTGATCGCATCGTGCCAACCATGGGGCAAGTGGTACAGCACGAGATCCCACGCTTGCAGAAAGAGTTGACCAAAGCAATCCAGCACCAGCACCAGCACCAAGTTTTATGCGAGGGATGACGAGCAATCTCATTACCTGTTCAAGCCAACCAAGCCTTCATCTCCAAGCAACCACGAATGGCGGGATATTACCAAGTAATGGGCTTATTCATGTCACCACTGCCTACCAACAGGACGGCTTCGGAGTCGACACAAGCCTGGACGGGCCCTACCAAACGTCTCACGCACATCCACGCTCTTGGGGATACGCTAACAGACACCCGTTTTAACTTCAACACGTATTCTATAAAGTCTACCTAACGCGTACAAGCACACCCACAACGTTTAGAGCACTATGTACTACAATCGAAGTTGTACCACTGTACCATGCAGAAGTTTCACAGATATGCAATTTGCAGATTTGCAGCATACCTTGTACTTTAAACTTTTATAAGGGTTCTAGTGCGCAAGCATGTAAGCGTTAACACATACGTACCTATCTCGTATGTTTCACTTTTAAACATACAGGTAGATGTCGTTTATACTTTAGACGCAGAAGTGTACTTGTTCGTCCAACACCGGACGATTTTAGTCTTGTACTTCCACCAATGAGCCTCCAAGTAGGCCGCCAAAACCGGAGACAAGTCTTTCAAAATCACGCATTGCAATTCAAAGTCACTTTCAGTGCTTGCTTCCACTGCCCTATAGAAGAATGGCATGAAGACCTCGGTCTGCCAAGTATTTTCCCACTTATCTTGGCCAGGAAGGGGGTTCTCCTCTTGAACCTGGCCGAGAACGCTGCGAACCTTTGCCAATACGAATACATACTATGTGAGTCATCAATTATATCGCTTTGTGACGTAGATGTTTGTAGATCTTGCGATATAAGCAAGGTCCAGGAAACAACTACATGGTATCGGTGGCAACAACCAGCCTCCATTTCAACATTACCGACCTTTTGAGAAGTACTTCAGTCGTAAAAGATGTAATATTCGTATAGACACGCAGGTAGCCTCTTGCCAGGAACTAATCTAACAAAAATTGCATGTCGAGGGCCGCCGTGGCCAGGGGGGACGGCCAATTTGGCGTCTGATGGGGACGGGCTCGGTTGGAGGTGGCAAATGCTCAGATGTGGTTGACGTAGACCATACATATGGCCCAGAACTGGTAAATGTTTCTTGCCAAGTCGCCAAACCAGTCTGAAATGAATATGAGGGAGCTGCAGGACTTGGCTGTGCAATCGGCGGAGAGGCTGGAAATGCTGTGGATCGAGCTGGAAAGCCACCGGGTCTGGTAAAGTCGCCGTGTAACCAGGCATATGCTGTGTATCTGGTGTGATCTCGCGGACAAAGGTTGAAACCAGGCGCGAAGCCAATATCGAACCCGACCACACCAAGACTTTGAGCTGGGAAGTTATGCGCATGTCTCCTGAGATCGGACCCGGTGTGATTGCCATGCAGCGACACTTCGTTGGCTGCCAGCAGTAAACCGGTAGCTGAATCATCTACATGCACTGTAGCCGCACTGCTCACTTGTGGACGCTTCTGGCGCACACGCCTATCCTTGAATCTTAAATTGGACCCATTAACTCCAGGCACACTGAGTCCGTAAGCCGCACGTCCACAGATTATGTGGGCACAAGACAGGAACTTCTTATAGAAAAGACATGAGCACTCAAACGTACTCAGGTGCACCGCCCACCCGCCTCGTGGCATGCCAACGTGGTGCGCGCGGCGTACAGACCATTTCACAGCTTCCTGATAGAACTTGGCAGCGGTAGCCTTTTCTGCATCTGTTAAACACTCGGGCGATATGATGACAGGAGTTTTGACGTTGCTGGGGGCCTCCAACTCGTCAAGGTCAGACAGTTCGGGGCGGTCTTCCAAATGATCACCGCAATGATACAGCACGCGAACAACCGACTTCTCGGTCGTAGCGTAAACGAC